ACTCGCAATTACATGAAGTTTTTGTGAACACGGATGAACTCCCGGCGCAATATCTCAAAGATTTGCTCAGATGTGCCATATCTAACACAGAATATCCCGACTTTTGTGATAAATATATTGATATAAAACGCATTCAAATGGAAGCCTCGAGAATATATGACTTATGGCTTGAATTGCATTCAACTTCTCTTATTTCAAACATTGATTGTGGAAGTGATGAGAAGATTATTAAAATTGAGGGTAAATTTGTTGTACAGTACTGTAAATGTGAGGATCAATTAAATATGATTTAATTGCAGATGAATTGCCGCTAAATATACCTGAAGTGAAGAAGACGAACCTGGATTCGTTTAATGTAAACATTAAATCCATTGAAAACAGTTCGGCTCTTCTGTTGCTAATTCAGCACAACGTGAGAGTAGTGTTGGAAGAGGCGAAGTGAGACACAGACACGACATTCATACCAATCACTCATAACTAATATTCTATTCATTTTACAGATTCTTTGAAAATTTATTACAAAAGTTTGATGATTTGAATAAGAATTTGATGCAATCATTGCCTGATCTCTACCCTAACATTAAGAAAGAAGTGAGTCTTATATTGAATTAGATAATGATTATTAGGTTTTCATAAATGGGTTTAAATTTTAGATAAAATTGAAGATTTCTTGCGAGAAAGACAGCTACGATCCGAACGGCTGCACCGGACCCGCGCTCTTCAACATTGAAGTATTATTTTGTAGTTAATTGTAGTTTGAATTTAATATTAATATTTAATTTTAACAATCAGTTCATCGAAGCGACTCTAAATCAACACTCATTGAAGTCTATCGAAAGAAACCGAATTGACTTCGAGAATACAATCTCACAACTGATCGAAACGCCGTCTAATAAAGTGGTTTTGGCCTCACTTTTCATAGAGAAAGCCATTCCGTTAGTTATCCATTGTTTCACTCAAATTGATCTCTAATTTTGAATTAAATTTCCAGAATATTGATAGAATCGTATGATTTCCATATTGAAGACAATCAGATAGAGAGATCACTGTTGGGCTCAATATTGTCGTGGATTAATGACACCAATTATATGTATCCGCCCTCTAAACGAATGTTCACTAATTTGCTCGACT